CTCTGGCAGCTGCTTCGCATCTTCGACGAAGACTTCCTTGTAGCGAGCGTACCACTTACTGAAGCATTCGTCCGCTTCTGGGTCGAAGTAGAATTTTTCGATCCAGTTGCTCAGCGCGGACATCATGTTCGGAACTTCCGACGACGTACTGGGCTGTCCAGTACCTGCGATGTGCTTCAGAAACGTCTCCATCATTTCTTGCCTTTCTTCTCTCATCAATTCCCTGAGGCTCTTCTGGTCTTCTCTGATCAGTTCCTTGAACATGATCACCAAGTCTTCTGTGCCTATTTTCGCCATTTGTGACCACTCCAGCTTTCGAGATTTCGTTTCCCTGCAGCTTCTTCGGCGTGGTTCCTGGCGTGCTTCGTTACGGCTACTTCTTCGCTAGTAGCCGCTGCCTCCTGATCGCCACTGTTGTGTCCTTGACTCTGGACACGTCGATTCTTCGTCCTGAGGGCACAGAAGGAAGCCAATAGATTTATTAAAGAAATAATAGAAAAACAGAATAGATATGAGAGAGGCAAATTGGTGAACGAATCAACTGACAATGGCTAACAGCGAGCGCCTTTTATAGCGCTCATTTCCCGCGCATTGAGGTTGCAGGCGCCTCAGCGAGGGCAGATCATACGAGATGATAACTGATCAAACACTAACACAACAAAAATCATTAGAGATTAGGTTGATGCAAAAGTTCTTTCGCACCAAATTCAAAAATTCATCACCTGTATCACCTGTATCCCCGTTGATCATCGTGTTGCACGAGCGGGTACCAGTGATGCCTCCATTCGTCCCTGTCTCAAGCGATTGTTGACCAATGTTTACGTATCGCACCAGGAACACGTGGAACGCTCTGAAGGACTTCATTAAAGGACTTCGTGAACATATCTGACCATCGCGTCGGCGGTCTTCCTCGTTCGCGTTTGACGTCCAGTGGTATCCAATCTGTTACAGCTCTCGTCCACCGGTTGTCGTCGAAACGCATTACGTGCCCGGCCCATCTTATCTTGTTCTGCTTGGCGTACGCGGCAGCGTCCCTGATCTTCGATCGTTGACGTAGGGTAGAACTTCGTAATCCTTGCCTCACTTGCGTGAGTCGATTCACTCCTAGCATCACTCTCTCAACAGCTCGTTCGATGACGCTAACCGCGTGTTCATCCTGCTTTCTCATTGTCCATGTTTCTGAAGCGTACGTCAAAGCAGGAAGAACCGTCGAGTTGAAAAGGTGGGCGCGGAGCCGGATGTTCTTGGTCTTCTTCACTACGTCCTCAATTGTCTTATATGCTCCCCATGCTGCACGTTTCCTCCTGCTCACTTCCGGAGCTAGATCGTTCATCATATTGAGTTCACGACCTAGGTAGGTGTAGCTTGAGCATTCGGTGATGTTCGTCCCGTTGAGCATGAAAGGAGCATCAGGCACTCTTCCGTTCCTCATGAACATCGTCTTCGTTAGATTCAGCCGTAGACCGATCTTTCCACACACTTCGTCAAACTGGGCCAGCATTTGTTCCGCCTGCGTGATGCTTGGTGTTATCAATACGATGTCATCAGCAAAGCGAAGATGGTGTAGCTGCCGGCCGTCGACTTTCACTCCCATGTTGTCCCATTCCAACTTACGCATGACGTTCTCCAGAGCGGCACTGAACAGTTTCGGCGATATAGTATCGCCTTGTCGCACGCCTCTCTTCACGTCAATGATGATGTCCTTGTAGAATGGTGTTATGGTGGTTGTAAAGTCGTTATACAGCTCACGAATTATCTTGATGTAATGAGTCGGAATACCTTGATTGCTCAAGGCATCGATGACGGCTTCAGTCTCAACCGAGTCAAAGGCCTTCTTCAAGTCGATGAAGGTGAGACAGAGCGGCATCTTATACTCTCGTGACACTTCAATGAGCCTTGACACCGTGTGTATGTGGTCGATCGTGCTGAATCCTCTTCGAAACCCAACTTGCTCGCATGGTTGTCCTTCGTCCAACTCTCTTCCGATCCTGTTTAGAATGACTCGCGTAAAGAGTTTGTAGACTACAGACAACAAGCAGATAGGGCGATAATTGCCGATGTCGCAGGGATCTCCCTTCTTGTACAGCAACACGGTTTTGCTGGTCTTCCATTGCCTTGGAACCTTGCCTTCCGTCAGGTACCGCGTGAAGAGCCTTGTCAAAGTCTTGATGAGAACTGGCGAAAGATTCTTCAGATGTTCTGGCTTAATCCTGTCGGGACGGGTGCTGTACGGTTTTTCATCGACATGATAGCATGACGAATCTCGGAAGGAAGAACAGACGGTGCGACATACTCGCCCTCCTTGAGATGGCATGGTGGAAGGTGGACGTGGCTCGCAAAAAGATCCGAGTAGAAGTCGTGGATGACCTTCTCCATTGATCTTCGGGAAGCAGTTATGGTTCCGTCAGGACGACGAAGTGCGGTCATCTTTGTCTTGAAGTTGACGAAGCTTCGGCGGGCGTTGCGTATACTTCTTCCAGCCTCCGCGGCGTCAACCATCACTGCTACTCTTCTCTCCTTAAGGTCTTCTTTTATCGCTTCTCTGCATCGCTTCGCAAGCTCGGACGTCAGTCGGTAGTTGCCTGTGGCTCGTGCGCGTCCACGTTGGCGTATCAGCTCCAAAGTCCCCGTGGTGAGACGCCTTCTCGTACTTCTTAGACTCTGAACTTCCTTGGCACAACCGTGGAGATGTTGTACGAACCGTTCGTATTCTTCGTCGATGTTGTCCATCACGGTATCTCGCCATGAGCCGGATATCGAAGAAAACAGATCCCAGTTGGTGGTATTCATGGGACGATGTTTCCTGAACTTGACGGCTCTCTCTCCATTCCGCGGAAAGTAGAATTTGGCGCGCAGGAGACGATGGTCTGATCCCGTGTAGAACTTCGGAACAACAGCGACGTCCGTCAGGCAGTACCTTCTGTTGACGATGATGTGGTCAATCTCGTTATGGTACTCTCCACCGGGCGATTCCCAGGTCCAGCGTAGGGAAGAGGGCTTTTAGAACTGTGAGTTTCCATGGATAGTCCTCGTCGTCATGATAAACTCAACCAGTCTCTCCCCTTGTTCGTTCCGCTGCAAACCATGGGTTCCGATGTGAAGTTCCTCAGTCGACCTTCTAGTTCCGATCTTCGCGTTGAAATCACCGACGATGATCTTGTAGAAGGTATGATCTTCTCTGTAGAACTTCTCCAAGTCCATATAAAATTCCTCGAGTTCGTCCTCGTCGTAGCTGGATGTTGGGGCGTACGCAATGAAGACGGTCAAGGCAGGGATTGATCCACATCTTGATATTCGCAAACGTCCGATTCGAGTTGTAAGTTGTTCGAAAGAATCGATGTTCATGGCCAAACTCAAAAATTCACAACTTCTGAATTTTTCAACCGATTGGAGCGCTCTTATTTTTATGTGAAAGAGTAATTTATGATTTATAACCGCATCTTAGGTGCTTGCTAATGATCATCTATTGCATAGATAGGAGCTGTAGAAGAAAATTAGTCAAAATTCGAATTTTATGTGTAGGATCATAAAAAATCGGAAACTTGCAACAAAAATCGGAACAGTCGGTATTGTAGGTTCTTTCACCAGCTCTTTCTTACATTGCAAAGTTTGCGCCGATTGAGCGTCTCTATGAAAAGTTACGATTTTCCTGAAAAACTTCCAAAATAAATCAAACTCGCCCTTATTGCTTGCTCGAAAATCGTAACTTTTCATAGAGACGCTTAATCGGCGCAAACTTTGCAGAGTTAGAAAGAGCTGGTGAAAGAACCTACAATACCGACTCCTCCGATTTTTGTTGCAAGTTTTCGATTTTTTATGACCCCACACAGAAAATTCGAATTTTGACTAATTTTTTTCTACAGCTCCTGTCCATGCAATAGATGATCACTTGTAAGCACTTAAGATGTTATTATAAAGAGCATGACTTACACTTTCATGTAAAAATAAGAGCACTCCAATCGGTTGGAAATTCAGAAGTTATGAATTTTTGAATTTGGTGCGAAAGAACTTTTGCATCAACCTAATAGTAACCAAAAGGAAAATTTTTATAATCAAAGATGTACCAATTAATTTTTGTAAGGCACATAACTAAATACAATCAAATATGTTAAACTTCTTCCAAAAAAAATTTGAATATTCATTTATTCAAATATTTTCTTTCATTATTTTTTCTTCCAGGTCATGTAGGCTGGATACGCAAAGCATTTTTTCATAACTTAGGGTGAGGAATTCCGTAAAATCTTGATCCAAGAATTAGTGAGGAATTCCGCAAAGTTTGTTAGTGAAAGCTTGGTTTTGCTAAAAATTTTGTTTTTGTTTTGGCTAGCTTTTTTCTGCGATAACGAAGCTGAAGCAAGGGCAAAGTTCGTCTCGAATCACATGTATGAGATTTGTAAAAAATATGCAATGAATGCACTTTTTCAAGTAAAGTATATTTTCAAAGAAGATTGCAGATAAGGCCGACAACTCATGTGAATTCGGATAAAAAGGAGCTGCGCCGTATCAGATTTCCCATGTGTAAATTTTTTTGACATAGGCCCTGAACATAGTAAATCTTGTTTCAACTGACATACAGTCGACTCACCTAGCACTTCTGACAGGCATCAACATATAGTGTTAATCACAGGAAGGAGTTTTTCATTCTATAGACCTCGAATTTTTTTTGGTACTGCAATGCTGTGCTAGCAATTCTTTTGGAATGGAGTCAGCAGGGTCAGTCTACGATAACTTGATGAAAGCGCGACTAATAGAAGCTTCAATAAATGTTTAAACACTGACGCGTAATGCTTTACCAACAGCCGTAAGATTTTCTAGACTCAAATTCTCCTCTTGCGCACGTCACCATGTACCGCTAGCTAGTGTAGTCTTTGTTACACAGATTATACTGCATTTCTCCTGATTTTGTAGCATAAAGTAACATACACGCTTTAAAATTAGTAGTATAGCCAAACGTACAGCGCTCGTGGTTTAATCTTTACTGTGTGTTTACTAGTATGCAGGGCCGCGACCTTCTTTCACCACTCCTATTCCGCGGTACCATGAAAAAGAGTGTGCTTGCACACCGTCGAAGCTATGGTTGGACGTAGTGGTCGTTATCGATAATTCTTTGTCCATGTCAACAGAAGAACTAGATGAGGTACATTGTTTAGTCCTCAGAGAATTGCACCAGTTGTGAATTCAAGGCGTTGAATATGCAAATCAGTTGTCGCTATTGTAGGCATCAACAAATCTGTGCAAAGTTTTCGCTCAAGTCACCATTACGCAAGGTGAAGGTCATCATTCTCGAGTAGGAGTGGTCACATACGGAATCAAAGCAGATGCAGTAAGGCTAGCATCGCTTTTGCATTTCTAAGTTTTCAAAATATCTATTACCTAGATGCACAACTTGACCGAGTTTTACTCTTTTCATCAATTCTGTAACAGGATTTCCAAAATTCGACAAAAAAATGAGACTATAAGCAATCTGAAAGAGTTGGTGTTTTTGAAGTCATTTCTAAAGAGTACAGTACGGTTTAGCAATAGTATCTCATACTAGAGGTCTTGAGAAAGCAGAGCAAATGTTTCGTGATGGCCGACCTGATGGATTCAGAAAGAACGTCAAAGAGGTTATTATGATTTATGCCAGCATTGACTGGTCAGTCAAGGATCCAGAACCTTGTTTTACCATGCCAGTATCCCTCAATTCAAGGTGGACCAACTTCGACGATGCTGAGCCGTTAGCAGATCGAATGAAGATCAGCGGGAAGGAAATCATCGTTGTTGGATTCTTCCATAACAACTACCGTGCTTATGACCTAATCCGCGAAGTATGTAATAGTATGCACTGCTGAAAGGTTCATGATAGCATTATTACGAAGCTGCAGATTGCTTCTGATGGATTTTATAATTCCTTCAATAACGATTGTTATTACGGTATTCAGCACGATCTTTGCGCAGGTAAAATCGGAAACGGTTTGAGACTTTTGCGACTCCATCATATATTCCAGCAAACTGCTTTTGTAGAAGAAATTGGCTGCAGTACACTACGGGCACAAAAAGATTTGGATCATGCCTGAGAATAGGTAAAATTCCATCAAAAATAGTCTATATGCACCAAAGCCATTCATATAGGTGCTGGTGACTTGAGCTGGAAGATGGCTAAGCAAGCGTGCCTCCAAATAAGCCACGAATCCGGTCATCTTGCCACTGTTTTCGAAAAAGCAAAGCATGACTTTATCGAATGTCATTACTTAGAGATTTTCAGACATGTTATCATTTGCATCTTTCGGCAACGAAACCCCTTTTCAGGGATGTACGGAAATGACAACACCACGGAATGGCCATACGAGTATCATATTGGTCTCTCTTACGACATTAACCACAGTGACTACTTCTGGGAGCAGCCTGTGGGCTCGGATCCAGCACGAATTCCCGTACTCATTCTCTCTATCGTAAACTCTGCAGCATGACGTTGATGGGCCTGGTTTTTAGCTGCGAGGAATAGATTTCCGGATTTGGAGCTGGGGCTATCCATCTCTGCGTAACGATGCGTACTGCGTCCTCACTGCTCTGCTCTATACGGCATCCGACGAGGTTAGCGCCATCCATTTTTCTTTTGTTGAAAGATGTAGATTGGAAATCGTTTCGCTATACTAAAAACGTTCATTGCAGTATGGTTGGAAAAATGTGCACTGCGAAAACGAATACAGGAGGTACATATGTCAGATGAATTCCTGCGATACAGATAATTATTGCCCTAATATTGAGGAGTAAATTGTGCTTGCGTTTCTCTACATTCAAGTGATTCATAGTTATAAAAGTCTATGAAAAAGTCTATGTTCTTATAGTTATACAGGAGCATATACATGTATCCTAAAATGTTTAGGATACATGTATAGGTCAGATTTGTTTTTATGGAGTAGAATTTGTTCAAAATTTTGTACTTTTCACCGAGTGCTTACATCCATATTTGGCGCAGTGACTAATTTGGATGGTTTGCTTAGTTTTGGAAACGAACTTGTATTTTGATGGCAAAAAGCCAATTGCAACTCTTGTACTGAAGTGTCAAGGTATCGGCTTTGGCTGTGTCGCCAAAACAGTTTCAGTGTTCAAGTATGCGGAAAGAATGTAATATTTCGAAGACTGCTCGAGAATAAAACAAACTTATTTTACTTACTCAAGTTTTTTTGGACACTTGTCCGATTTTGCCAAACAGCATATAAAGAAATATAAGGCTGTTGCAAACAGTCCGAGATGTGGAAAGGGTGGTCTGTGCCTATTAGCATTGTCTAACTGGGCATGCAAAATTCTGAGGATAAGTTAACACACAACTTTGATGAAAGAGAGGGGGAAAGTCATCGTAAACAAGTCTTCCAAGCCAACTTTGATAGCTTTGAATATTTGGTAAAACCTAATGAATGACAGTAACAGCTTCTCAGCAAGCTTTCCAAATCCCACAAGAGTTGCTTACATTTTGGACAACGACATCAACATACGCCACAGTTTGTTTTACGAACAGTTTACTAACCCACTGATTTTTGATCAATGCTCCAATTATTCATTGATGCAACTTTACAATCTTGTAATCCGGAGCGACAAAGTTTTGGAGACGTCGAGGCAAGTGCCAGAATGAAAGGGCAGAGCAAAATTCGTGCATGGCTATACGCTTAGTTTGTCCCCATCAACAGAGCCGAAATTTCGGCGCACCTATAACCTTTCTACGTCGTTTTTGCGAACTGTCATAAGAGTGACTGCTTGCATTTTACTCTGTCCGAATCTCTCTGTAAAATCTCACCGTATCGAAATCTTCGTGATTTCGCATTCAGTTAGTACGCATTGACAACATATGAGTATACTCAGATTTTTGAAATGTGAGTGTTCTTGTCCTCTCACAGGTGATTCCAAATATGTAGGCATCCAGGGAGCACCATTCTACAGCTCAGTCTCCTGAAAACTTGCGTTCTGTGCGAATTTGTGAGAAGAGCGTCTAAGATTTCCGTATATTCAGAATAGATTTTCAAACATGTTTGGTATAAAGAAGGCTTCCATAAATTTGCAAATATTCGATCAAAAATGTCCAAATATCGTTTTTGTGAATCCTGAGCTTTCGTTGTATCTCTGATTACTTTTGTGTCAAACAGGTTCGTTACGATGTTTCTTCTTCTCTAGTATTTCTCTCCAAGCTCCAAATTAGCGAAGGTATGATTGAAAATTGAATGTGGCTATTATTGCTGGTCTGCTCTTTGGTGAAGCAATAGTTATAATTGGCAAATGATAGTTCGCTCGTGGTCGGAGCTTCAATGCATTTCTATGAGCCATCATGTTAGGAGAGAAAAAAATTCCGTAGGAATTACTGATGCGCAGCGAAGAAACCGTATAATGTGTGATTACCACTCGAGCTCACATTAGCACGTCTCTGATCATATTTGGTTTGTGAAGACAAAGGAAAGTGTTTTTATTGGCCAGCGTTACGTTGCTGAGGAATAGTTTGCAAAAGTATTTATCATGATCCCAAAAATTTGATCTCGGAAAGCAAATAATCTTTGAGCTTTTCTGGGTGGAAAAATACATATTTTGACAAACAAAGCGTAGAAGGAATGTGATTTTTGCTTACTCTTATGATGAGGAAAATCTGTGCCATTGGCTTCAAAATTACATTTTTGAATTTAATTAAGGGGAACGAGACTCATACATTTGTCTAACCAATTTGAATCATAAGTTACCACCAAGACTGAGCAGCCTTATACACCGTCTTCATAATTTTCAAACCAAAATTTTTGCTGCGATCGGCAATTTTATCGGCTTTAACATTTCCGATATTATCAGAGAGCCCCATTCAATGAATTTTCTGCATTTCTAATGATTTGTGTTTCTCAAAGATAAAGAATTCGCTCAAGATGGATTCTCGTCATTGCGACAATTACTGTTTGCCAAACTAGCATTTCATACAACTCTGTTGAACAGCACAGAGCACATTCAGTATTTGACCAAGACCCGTAGTAAAGTTCCGTCAGTTCAGGTGGTCTAAACGGACTTAGTTGAAGTCTGTAAGGTGCACTTAGGTGTCTTCATACCGCGTCGCTAGAAGCCGCTAGCTGCGGCTACTCGTTTTGAAGTTATTCCATATCACTTGACCCAAGAAGTAAATATGTGTACTTCGCTGAATCTTTGTCTAAAGTATAGTGTAGCACGCTGATAGCGAATTGAACATTCATCTCGCACAGTAAGGTTATCCCGTGAAATTGTGATGGAATTCCCAGGAAGTCAAAATCATGAACTTGCCTCAAACTCTGTGTAAAGAAGGGGACGGGGAGCAAGAAAGATATTGCCTTGTCAAGGGAAGTTTGATTTCTTAAACTTTGAAATCAAGCTAGTTATGCCTGTACATGACGCTTTCTAGACGTTGAAATCGCCAAACTGGGCAAGGGCGCTTTGAGAAAATCGCGTGAGGTATAACCGATGACAAGCAGCTCGGGTACTATTCGATATAGCCTCCTCTTTCTGATAGGTATTTTTTTTTCTTCCCGCTTTATGGAACCTTCGGAGATGAATCATACAAGGAGTGAATTTGAACGCGCTTACGGCTGTACTCTAAACTCCAAATTCGACATTTCGTAGCAGAAAGCTTATCGCTTTGTAAAATTGCATCTAATAATAATGAGATTTTAAACACTTAAATTCCAAGGATTTCTCAGTTTTTGATGCGTTCGTTTAACACACGAATTCGCACAAAAGTGGGCTTTTAGAAAAGATCATCTTGAAAAACTGGGAAGCTATGTAGTTAGAGATGCCCAAAAAATCCTTTTGCTTTGCTTGTTCGAAAGGAAATTGTATGGGCTCTAATTTTGAAAGTAGGAAAAGCTCTGCGCTTCTTAGCGCAGCACATAGTTTTCATAAAGTTTGGTGAAATCGAATGTCTTATGAGAGCATCTAGAGGATGAAACCAATACTATGGAATACTCGTCCTGTCCGAATGAAGTTTACAAAGCGGAGCACGTAGCAAAGAATCCTTGTTTAGGCAAGGCAAAATCACATTTTTTTAGATAGGGGACGGTATGGGGAAGTTTGATTTTGCATCGCAAATAAGGTTGAGTACGGTTCTTGGAGCGAGATCTGCGCTTTTCGGAGGGAAGTACACAACGGTAGAAAATTTTCTGTTCTACAGATGGTCCACGAAAATAGTGGAAAACTCGCATTTGAAAGCGTCATTGCAAAATTCTCATTTTTCTTTCGGGAAGGGAACCATATGCGCAAATTTTCGTTTCGCTGATAAAAGCTTAATGCTTTTTAAGGCAAAATACTCTGCATTAAAAAATTCCTTTGAATGTAGGAAAACATATAAGACTGTGTAAATAACTTGTTCATACTTATAAATAACTAGCTGGCTTACCCGGCTCCGCCGTATCCGGACCAAACTTGGCACACATACACTTCGGGCCCCGGCGGGTGTCACAGTCCACTTTTCGTTATCGATCGATATCGATTTTATCTATTTTTATCGATTTTTTTGCTGAGTTCACCTACAGGGCTAGGAGTTGGCACAGGGGGAAGTGAGCATGGGGATTCCGAATACAATATTAGTTTTCAGAATTATCGATTACTTTTATTGATTTTATTGATTTTTTGTAAATTTTGACATGCGAGGCTGGGATTTTGCACAGGGGGGTAATCGAGCATGCTGATTACGAACACAATATTAGTTTTCAGGATCGTCCATTACTTTTATCGATTTTATCGATTTTTTTTGTAAAGTTTGACCTGCGGGGCTGGGAGTTTGCACAGGGGGTAATCGAGCATGCAGATCACCCCCCTTGGGAATGATCAGCATGCTCGATTACCCCCCTGTGCCAACTCCCAGCCCCCTAGCTCAAACTTTGCAAAAAAATCGATAAAATCGATAAAAGTAATCGATAATCCCGAAAACCAATATTGTATTCGGAATCCCCATGCTCGATTACCCCCCTGTGCGAACTCCCAGCCCCGTAGCTCAAACTTTGCAAAAAAATCGATAAAATCGATAAAAGTAATCGATAATCCTGAAAACCAATATTGTATTCGGAATCCCCATGCTCGATTACCCCCCTGTGCCAACTCCCAGCCCCGTAGCTCAAACTTTGCAAAAAAATCGATAAAATCGATAAAAGTAATCGATAATCCTGAAAACCAATATTGTATTCGGAATCCCCATGCTCGATTACCCCCCTGTGCCAACTCCCAGCCCCGTAGGTGAACTCAGCAAAAAAATCGATAAAAATCGATAAAATCGATATCGATCGATGACGAAAAGTAGCCTATGACACCCGCCGGGGCCCGTAGTGTATGTGTGCCAAGTTTGGTCCGGATCGGTTCAGAAATGGAATTTTCTATTCGGAACATACGTACATACATACATACAGACATACATACAGACAGACATACAAACAGACATTCAGCTTTATATATAAGATCAAAATAATCTTTAAAATTTTTTGGAAATCTAATTTAGCCTTACAAAAAAATTTTCTTGGGGGCGTGGCTGACGCCACGCTCACTTTTTCTGGAATTTGGGGGCTTTGGGAAGCATACCAAAAATTTTTTCGGATTGCGTGGCTCACACCACGCACCTCCAACAGAAAATTTTTTGTCGCCCCCCCCCCCGTTCCCCCTAGAATGGAAATCTACGGTACTGGTGCAGGGTCTGGTTGAAGTAGAGCAGGGACAAAAGCAGGGACAAGTGTTTTATAGAAGTATGGAAACGCTACCTTGACATTTACAGCGCCGGCGGAACCGGGCATACCACCCACTTGAGTCTAAAATTTCACTGACATGAGAATACAATACATGAGTGAACTTATCGCAATATTTGGAGCGTGCTCTCTCCTGAGTTTTTGATGCTTTCGTGGGTCCTAGCAGCGATTTCAAAACCGCGCACTAGCCACAGAAATGTACTTCTGCATGTCTTTATTCGCAGAATGGGTCTTGTACATTATCAATTTTGACAGGGCTGGTAATGTCTTGGCCTAGAATGTGCATAAATGTCGATCAGAAGACTACATTTTGCACTTTTAATTGCACAACAGTTATTGTGATCTCATCAAAGTCACTCGCATATCATACAGACGCACAAACACTCAACATCTGTTCGAAAAATGGTCAGCGTCAGCTACAAGTATATACAATGATCTGATAAGAATTTTTAATTTTATACCCACAGGTTGTCCGGTTTGATTGTGTTCGCTGTATAGGCTAATCCTTTAGAAATACCTGTTGCGATATATACCCATCCTCACTTGACTGTTCCTTTAACAATGCGATGATTGTTTCAATGCACCATGGAGGAGTGATTGTATGTATCTAGCAATGTATAAACCTATCCTCACTATACGCGTACAAGGTGTGGAGATTTCCTTCCAGAATCGGGCCGCCCAAAAACGCCAAAAGATTTAGGGATCAAACGACACCTTATCGTCTAAGGGAATCGTGCGGCATAAAAATCGCTTTCTGAAACACAGTGAAGCGGCGGAATGGCTAGCTCAAGGATTCGGAAAGGATGCGCTTTGTACGCGTGTGTTTAGGGTGACAGGATTTTTTTTGCGAACGCGGCCTTATCTAGGTATGCTGAAAGCGGTCCATATGAATGACTTCTTAGATAAAATTTTTCGGCGAAATTGAAAAACCTTTTGTGTTATAATTAGTGGCAAAGATGCTTTGATAACTTCCATTACAGTTGGCAATAGATGTTGTTGTTTTCTGCAAGTGAAATTATAGTCCATTGGTGTAGACAGAACTTTTCAGTGCTGGCTTATCAGACAACGTTATGATTGAGAAAAAACCTCTTTTGATAAAAGTAATGGTGGGCTTATGACTACGGGCATGTAATCACTCTTCCGCTACATTTACATAGAGAATGTTGTGTATGATTGACGATTTTTACTGTAGACTATAGAAGATGAGCACTTCAGCGTTTTTATATTAACATTAATCTCCTTAGCAGCATTTGTCAGTAAGCCAATTGGCATGAATTGATACAGTGCATATCTATAAAATCTGTCCGTACCGAGTCTATGACTCACTTCGCTCATCTTTGCACATTATTTGGAAACACTGCATGTGTCACTTAATATGTTGCAGGTGGAATTACTGAAGTACCTGTTCTCGGATGCTATTATATTTAGTTGTATTCTCTATAGGTAAGTAGAGGTTTTCTGTTCTGAACCGAGGCTCTTCGCACGTCTCCAATGATTTCAGGCCTTTTCCTTCCGGGCGCGACATCCTCTGAAAATTACAAATCGCGGGAATGCCCATGTACAATATCCAAACTGTGGCTGGACATCTCATTTGCAATAGACAATTCTGAAAGCACAGCGGAAGGAAGCTTGAAAAACGTAAGCCAATCATTTTCTATAGTCTACTAGCTGGCTTGCCCGGCTCCGCCGGGCCTGCCAGCTAGACCCGTGTACGTATGTTCCGAATAGAATTGGGACCGAACTTTGCACACATACACTTCGGGGCACGGAGCTTGTCACAGTCCACTTTTCGTTATCGATCGATGTCGATTTTACCGATTTTTTGCAAAATTTGAGCTAGGGGGCTAGGATTTTGCACAGGGGGGTAATCGAGCATGCTGATCACCCCCTTCGGGGTGATCAGCATGCTCGATTACCCCCCTCTGCCAAATCCCAGCCCTCTAGCTCGAATTTTGCAAAAAATCAATAAAATCGATATCGATCGATAACGAAAAGTAGCCTATGACACGCTCCCTGCCCCGAAGTATATGTGTGCAAAGTTTGGTCCCGATCGGTTCAGAAATAAAAATTTCTATTCCGCACATACGTACAGACATACAGACAGACATACATACATACAGACAGACATTCAGCTTTATATATAAGATGGTTACCGTATTAAAAAAAATCCCGTCAGGAAAATTGACCCAGATCCCTATTTTCTAACTTGTGCATCCTCCCTCTGCCTAACTATTTCAACGAAATGCATAGCAACAGAAATGGAATTGCTTTCTAACTGTAGCGCAGAATCGATAATGTTATCTGTAAAAGAAGGAAATGAGTCTCGACTGATGGCATCGCTACGCAAACAGTAGGATTATGAGCGAGTGAATCACGCGTTATTCGAAAAGGATCAATCATAAAGATGTGACGTACTTTCTAAAAGATTTGTTTCCCAATATGATTGTATTATTTTTGGGTGCTAGGTGCCAAAACATTTTCGTTTTGATTTATTAGGTTGAGTCAAAAGTAATGAGAACTTTTAGCTCCCCATTTCGAACTTTCCGCAACTTGTGTAGAATAGCGGTAGAAGAGTACCCTAAGTTGTATAAAACGTAGCTTTTCTTTCTCTTCTCAGCAGTGAGGCCAATGGCCCAGTTGATTTCTTAGTTGTCGAAAAAATTTCCCAAATTTTGAACCCGTCATTTTTGCTTTCCTTGAGTTTAGCTAATCCTCAGAATTTTCAGTTTGAGGTTTTCGAATAAATTCGATAACATAAAGACAAAGCAAGCCCTGCTTGATGCAAACCACTATTTAGGTATTTCGAAACTAGCATGCTGAGGCCTTTTTAAATCATTTTTGCAAAAGACCCAAATTTTCAAAAAATGGCTCAAAACAAAAATGCGTTAAACCCTACAAAATCTTTCGAATTTGAGAGCTTCGAAAATGATTCCTCATCAATCCTTGATTCTGCAAGGTAAGCGGCGTTTACCGCTTCAAATTACCACAATCTAGAATTTTTTGACAAGTTTGAAAAACCATAGATTTTGAACGGAAAACGCTTTGTGTTCAAGATTTCTGCAAATATTTCAATTACGAAGTGATTTGGTTAAAAATCATATCTATCGGAAAGAGAAAGAAAAACTGTGTCGGACACCGTTTAAAGCAATTGCTTATGCATATTCTACCTAATTATTCGAGAGTAGGTCTAAAAAGAGATGCGATGTTCTCATTACTTTTGACTCACCCTAGTATAAATGAAGAGGAATTATAGAATGATTCGGAAACTGGCCTGAGACTGGTTATGGTAAGCCCGCACAAAAGTTGTCTTTTAGATCTACAAACACAATATCCGGTGAATTAGAGCAGTAAAATACAAGGGACGGCCAAAATCATAACTTGGGCAAAGTTTGATTTTCCCAAAAAACCGCAAACTTTTTGTTTGGTCGCATATAATAAACACATATAGGCTGTAATCAGCATCGGTCGCGAGAGCCCACAAAATGAAGTTGCGCGACCGCAGCTCAGGCGAGAAAGTGTTACTCGAGCGCGAGGACGGATGTGTGCTCATAAAGTGCAACAGACTTTCTTTCCCGCTTTCTTTCGCGTTGCCATTTGCTGGCTTTCATTGCCCCTATCTCGCGAATTTGATGCTCATCTCAGAGACTATCGCGCAGTTGAGTAAGAATGATAGTGCTTAAAGATGCTACAGTTTTACACTATGCAAGAGGGTCGCAAGAGTCCTCTTCAAAAGTCATAGAGCACCTGAAAAAAATCAAAAATGGCGTTAATTACGAGCTTTACTTCTAAAGATTATAACACCTATCAAATATGTCTAACAACTAAATTACGCGATTTAAGAGACACCAATGAAAAGATGTATTCACTTAGAATGAGAAAAAGTTTGGAAATAAATGACTCAATACATTCAAGAATCTGACTATAGGTCGGTTTCAGCGCTCGAGTATCATTTCGTTTCAACGCGGTGAGTGCTCGCAGGCTCCCGCGATGAACTGGTTGGTACAGTCTTTAGTTGCTCTCATGCACATGTTTCTGTGCGGTGGGAAATCCTAAAACAGAGCTAACATAAGCTACTGGCACAAAGCTCTTTTTTGGGCATTATATGGCAGATCTCATAATTCCCGAAGGTGATGCACTTTCCAAATTCGTAATACACAAAAATCTAGCAAACTGATTTAAGAGCTAGGGGCAAAACTTGTGACTTTTGGTTGACTTTTAAACTTTGTAAACGAAATCAAATAATAGCAAATCCACGTATATATTCGTTCTACTATATGACAAACAAGCCCTGTATCCTTAAGATTTTTGGGGCTAAGATACTTAGATACTTAGATACTTAGATGGCCCGTCCTCACGTGACGTGCGGGCCCCAGTACAGAAGTCGCCAGTTTTCCCTGTCCCTCGCTTCAGACATCCACGATCTTCTTGGCCGTCGTCGGTGGCTGCGTCCACGAGTTCCAGGGGCGAAAGTCGTATCCAGCTGATTTCTCAGCTTGTCCATCCGTTCCACGAACACGTCTGCCCATCTCGTTAGTGGTCTTCCTCGAGGAGGTTTGGCTTCGCGAGGAATCCACTCAGATGTTCTTAGTGTCCATCTGTCGTCTGTTCTTCTCATTATGTGACCGGCCCATCGGTGTTTGGCTTTCGCGACGTATTCCGCTGGCTCACGAAGACGGGACATTCTTCTCATGCGAAGTCCGACAAGATGTTGGTTGTGTCGGGTCATCTTCAGAAGACTACGCTCTAGCGCTCTATGGGTGGTCCTCAAAGCTTTCGACGTGGCTACGTGTCAGCCCCCGCTGCGTAACAGAGCGCCGGGAGAACGGTTGAGTCGAACAGGTGGGCACGAAGCTCCGGGTCCGTCAGTTGGTCGGTGGCTTCCTTCAGAGGCCGAAGGCGGCACAGGCTGCTCTTCTCTTCTGTTAAGTTCTTCCTTCAAGTCGTTCTCCATGTTCATCGAACGTCCGAGATCGTAAGAAGACGTCTCCATGATAGAGGTGCCTTCCAGTTCTATTTCTGCATCTTCGCAAAGGGCGTTCTTCATGAACTGCCCTTTGCGAAGAGTCTTCTTTCGATTAATACGCAATCCGATCTTCTTTCCTACTTCGTTCAGTTCCTTCAGCATTGTTTCTGCTTCAGTAATACTGCTTTCGAAAAGAACGATGTCGTCCGCACAAAACGAAGGTTCGACAGGATCTCCCATCAACTCGTAGGCCTCTCTCGTCCCAGTCCAGTGACTTCATCACCCACTGCAGGGCCGCGGTGAACAGCTTCGCCGAGATTGTGTCGCCTTGTCGGACCCCTTTACCGATTGGTATGGTCAGGGGGCGATGGAACAGCTGTATCGTTGTTGTACAGTCCTTGTAGCAGTTGGCTAGTGTCTTCACGTAGGCTGGGTCCACTCCTAATCGACTAGCGCTGACAGGATGGCGTTGGTTTCGACGCTGTCAAAGGCTTTCTCGTAGTCGACGAAGGTTAGGACGAGAGGCAGTCGGACTCCCGGCAAACTTCTATGACCCTCGAAACGGTCTGGATGTGGTCCATGCAGCTGAATCCTTTGCGAAATCCAGCTTGTTCTTGGGGTTGGGCTTCATCCAGTGTCCTTGCTATGCGAGCGAGGATAATCTTCGTGAAAAGCTTGTACAGTACACTCAGCAGGCATATTGGACGATAGTTCCGAAGAACCTCCCGTTCACCCTTCTTGAAGAGAAGAACGGTTCTTGACGTTCTCCACTGGTCGGGAATCTTCTCCTTCTGAAGGTAAGATGTCAGATGCGACGCTAGAATCTCGTGTAGACGGTGTCCTCCGGCTCGCAGAAGTTCGACGGAAAGATGATCTGGTCCTGGAGCCGTGGACGTCTTCATGGTCTGTATCGCGATACGTACTTCAGCAGGTAGAATTCGTGGTGGTGCTTCTCCAGTGGGAAAAAACAGTGGAACAACGGGCATCTGCACGGGTGTTGATGAGCGGAAGAGGTTGGTGTAGAAGTTCTTCGCGATAGATTCCATCTTGTATCGGGAAGAAGTCGGAGTCCCGTCTTCGTTCAGTAGTGCAGCCAGCGGTACGTGATATTCGCAGAGGTCCCTTCGACACTTCTTGAGACCTCGTCTTCTTTCGGCTGCTTCCAGTATCTTGGCTTGCCTGTACTTCCTGAGATCCTCTTGCAAAGCTGTGCAACTGGTGTTGGCTATCAGTCGCTCGAGATGAGTTGCATTCGGATCCTGCCTCAATGACCTTCTTCTTTCGAGCAATTCCTTGGTGGTCTTCGAGATGCGGTCCAAGTTCTTCTCAGAAGTCACTGAGGCGCATTCTCCGCAGGCTCGCAATCCTTTCAGAAGCCGGTCATAGTCGTACGTTGGGTCCTCCTCGATGGGCCAGTCACAACTTGATATGAGCTCTTCCAGCCTGTTACCGTCATAAACGACTTCCTTCCTTCTCGCGGCACTATGACAGACTTTCTTATCCAGCCTTCGGCTGAGTCGTATCTTCGCTCGAAGGAGGCGGTGATCGGAGCCACTACAGAAGGATGGAACTACAGAGACATCGCGTAAGCTCCACCTTCGGTTGGTGAGAATGTGGTCGATCTCAGCATGAGTCGTTGCGTTGGGCGATTCCCAAGTTCACCGGCGATATTCTTTCTTCATGAAGATGGAGTTTCCATGGAAGAGTCGTGCGGCGGAGAGGAGCCCAACGAGACGGTTGCCGTTTTCGTTTCGGAGCCCATATCCAAACTTCCCGATCCCATATTCCTTTTCTAGTGGCATCCCGATTTTCGCATTGAAGTCGCCCACAACATACTTGTAGAAGGACTTTTCGTTGCGGACAACCTCCTCCACGTCTTCGTAGAAAGCATCTAGTCCTGATTCGTCAGCTGCTGATGTTGGAGAATAGCAGTTGATGATGCTGATGGTCTTCTGACGTGGAGGGCGTAGTCGTAGGACGCCTAGTCGAGGTGATAGGATCTCGTGCGAATCGACAAGATGGACGATAGATGGATGGACGAAAAAGCCGACGCCTCCACGTTTCGTGATGAAACCTTTTCACCACGAATGATGAGGATCCCATCACTCATTTGTCGCACGTCCTTCTTCCTGGACTTCGTTTCCTGCAGAGCGATGATGTTGTAGTTGATGTGCTCTGCAGCGTCGGGAAGAGCGTGTAGGTCGGCGTTTGTGGAGACTGTCCTGGCGTTGTAGGTGCAGAGCATGAGGCAGTCTCCATGGCGTGTCGTCCGGGCAGACGTGTCTTTTTGTCCAATCCGAAAGGCGCCCTGAGTACCCTGACATCGTTCTTGCTACCACCCGGCGCCGTAGGCGGGATACGATGTGCAGGGTTTCTTTCTAATCTTCCAACTGGAGGAGTAATATGAATTTTCCCCTACAAGAGGTGACTTACTAGGCCTACTCTTGATTTCCACGGAGCGATCGCTGATCCCGGGCTTCGGAGCGGGGAGGGACCGCCTAGCGACCAGAAGAAGCCAGACGGCGGAGGATCTGGCGTGGCCAGTTCTTAGCTTTGGGGCTAAGAAGACCCAGTTTTTGCTGTAATCGTAGAATTTCGTTATAACTACACCTCAAGCAAGTTCAGATCGCTGCCACTGTTGGCTCCATATTTGGCGATGTAAAGGTTGCACCGGGAGATGGTTACCATACCCGCATTGCATTTGCTACACATGCGTCGACTGTGAAAGCAGTAAGTTGCAAATTCAGCAATGCTACAAACCTAATTCACCTCAATTCTAGTTTGATCTGGATCACTTCACATCCATAGCCGATTTGATGAATGAGATTGAACTAGTGCAACCCACCGAAGCTGCACCCAATGTTACACTGTGAGTCTTGAGTGGTTAGAAATACATCCAATGCCCATAATTGCCTGTATTTTCATTTGCATATCGACGTACCATTATCCCTCAATTTTTGCACTTCATCACTAAAAGGGCAAAAAATCTCAAGAGCAGAAAAATCTGTTGCTATTATTAGATTAGCACACAAGTACTGCAACTTACAATAGGACTTTTGTATTTTTAAATGTGGCACACGATATCTTTGGTATCATAGAGATTACAACGTAAGCTGTAAGTGCAGCCATTTTGGCGAATTTTGCCGTCACAAGTAACGGTAGGTATACTTTTTGAAAGAAAAACTTTTGAATTGGTTCAGAATTGCAGAAATTTGGTTTACCAGGTTCTCCAACTTGTTGATTACAAAAATGACAGTTATTCTGCATTGAAGATCATCTTTCAAAATTGAATTGCGAAATCTCACCTGCGCAACAAATGAGAGTGATATTCATGCTCTGCATGTCTAAATTGAATTGCGAAATCTCACCTGCGCAACAAATGAGAGTGATATTCATGCTCTGCATGTCTACTTACCTTATTTCGCGAAGCTCGCAGTTTTTGAGGTTTCGCTTAGTTATTGGCGGATGAGCTTCCAAATTTGACGCACTTGGCTTGTACAACTTTTCGAGGGTGACAAATCCTGCTTTATTTAGGATTAATTTTTTTACTGTACGTAAATCAACCTCTAGCAACATGTTACCTATAGTTTCGTCTTGATGAGTTTGATTTAAGCTGTGCACGTCTTCATGATTGCTCAAAAACTATAAAACCTCGCTTTTCAACAGTTTTTGAAAAATGATTTTATTTTTTTTATTAAGGTATCAAAAATCAAACGGTTTGAGCAGCCTTGAAGATCTCATCATAGTCCATACAATGCCAAAAAATGAGGTTGCTACACTCAAAAGCGAAAAGTTAGAGGAAACTTCAACACTTATGTGCCAATCTAATACTTACCGACACACAACTCTCATGTGAGCTCTGCTGCCTATTGTTCGGATAACGTACATCAAATAGAATTATCATCATTCCTTACGCATACTCAAGTCTCAAACACTTAAAAAGCTTCTATAGATCTCCTAGAAAAGGGAAGCGAATGTGTGGACTTACTTGAGAAAATTCTGTTCTGTTTAGGGGATTGATGATTGCTGATGCTTTGTTCAAAGGTCCCCATGGATTTCGACAATATGTGAAACCAGCTATATTCTTATTCGTCACGGACTTTAGGTGATCTTGATTTCGACATTTCAGATAAAGGAGGGACTTTTTTACATTTGTTTTGAATGCATAGGAGCACTCAGGTTTGCAGAGAAAAGGATTTCAACAATACAAAAAACTTGGCATCGACTGTTCGGCAAACTGGAACAGAAATCATTATTGTGACATTTGGGCTAACAGATCCTACCAAGATCGAAGCGCTAAAAGAAGTATGTTGCAGAAATATTGCAATATTATCAACTTTTTTTTCCATCCACTTACATCATTTTAGGTGGCATCTCCTGGGCTTCTCTTCAGCAGCACAACAGATGATTTGAGTCGTAGAATCCAGCAAAAGCTATGCGATAGTAAGTTATTTGCTCCTTCTAAAGGTTTTCAAAAGTAGGTAGACACTGTTCAATAGTGAGTAGCTCTGTTCCCCCAAAATGTTCTGCTTATTCTAAGCTCCATTTAGTAAAGCAAACCTCAACTTACATTAGAAACTGTCGCAAACTTGATTAGACTCTTGAAAAATTGTTTGAAATTAGTCTGGAAACACTACTTTCCGACAACTAAGTCAAAATGGCGTTGTACGCTGGAATTTTCTGTTTGAAGATTCGCGTTTTGGATCTACCAGCTTTATAGAGTGGTATCTGAAGATATTGTGGGAAGAGGGATATAAACGATTGGGAAGTGTATACTTACTTCTAGGACACTATGTATAGTTGCTTTTCCGGTAATTAGTATATGTCAGTTAACTGCTTCTGTAAAACGCAATGGCATCAGCTGAAAAGCGGTGATGGAGATTCCGCCGTAAAATATGGCGAATGTCTAAAAATAGGTAAGGAAAAACTTTACAACATTTTTATGTGTTTGTCTTCCTGATGCAGGCGGGATGGATGCAAACTGGAGAGCTGCAAAACGAGTCTGCATAAGTCTCTCTCACCAACAAGGACATCTGGTCAGCATCCTTGACGAAACTAAGCACGAATTTCTCATAAGTAAGACCCTTTTACAATATTTTATCACAGTCGGGCAAGAGGTCAGGCACAAATCTTCTGAAAACGACACCCCCCTTTCCCTATAAAAGCCAATAAACCCTCTTCTTCCTCTTCTTCATCTCCGAAGCCTCAAATTGTGAGATACTGGGAAACGACATCCTGTTAGAGGTTTTGAATATTTCTATATGTCCGATTTTCTGTGACTGCATCGTTACAAGTAGACATGATTTGATGACGGATTTTGATGTGAGTGGTTTTATCGAAAAAAAACCATAACTTTCCCAGTGGATGGGTGATTGGCTCCAAATTTTCGCCGTAGCAAGAAGAAGCTATTAGCTCAACACTCACACCAAGAAGGGCGATTTCTGTGTTTTGAAAACAAGTTGCAGTCTCGGCAAATCCTCAAAGCATCTGTTTCTTGCTTACCTGGGTAGGGGCGTGCTGCGATGCATGCCGCAAGACGCAGCAGCCTCTCAGATAATCGCCGGGGGCAGGCGGTCCGCAAACTCGCGCTTTTTTGCAAACGGTCAGCAGGATTTTGAGGCGTGGCCGAACCTTCAACGGGCCATACTTCCTTTACTGTCTAATGTTCTGCCAGCGGGCAGCAACACAGAATTTTTTGCAGGCGCTCGGCAAATAATTTCTTTCAGCGAGCGCTGGCCAAATTTTCAGCAAGCGCTCGGATTCTTTTTACGCAGTTTCGGGCATACCTCGAGCACAGGGAAGGCTCTGTGTGGCAGAGGTGTAACCGTTGGTTTAATTACTTAAGTTTGAGGTACCTTCTCTCAGCGGAAAGTACCTGCTCAGACAATCGCCGGGGACAGGCGGGCACCGGAAAACTAGATTGTTGATCTCTCGCACCTCGCTCGCGGATTTTTTGGAAAGCAATCAGGACTTTTCGGAGACCGCTTGCGAGTTCTCGATTCCTCAGAGATTCAGCAATATATCTGCAAAAGATAAGAGCGAAAAAAATTCAACAGGCGGTCTCTCAAAAATCCGCTGACTCAGCAAGCGGTCTTCCGAAAAGTCCTGATTGCTTTGCAAAAAGTCCGCAAGCGGGGTGCGAGAAATCAGCAAACTATTTTTCCGGTGCCCGCCTGCCCCCAGCGATTGTCTGAGTGGGGGCTGCGCGGTCCTCCTCAAAGGACCGTGCGGCCCCCGAAAATTTTGCATATTCTCGCGGAAAGTCCGCGAGAATGCGGCCACTGCGCCGCAGCTAATCTATAAGGAAACCGCGTTTGTTCTCCAAGCATTCGTCTAAGATTTCGCTAAAATTCTTCCAAATATCTGCAAGCGGACGCAAGAAATCAGCGAACTATTTTTCCGGTGCCCGCCCGCCCATAAATCGCACGGTCGCCTGCCCCCGGCGATTATCTGAGTATATGTCGCCGAATGTGCTCAGATAATCGCCGGGGCAGGCGGTCCGCAAACTCGCGCTTTTCTGCAGGCGATCATCAGAATTTTGGGGCTTGGCCAAACCTTCAGCGGGCGGCACTTCCTTTACGGTCGCATATTCTGTCAGCGGGCAGCAATACAGCATTTTTTGCAAGCGCTCGGACTCTTTTTAGGCATTTTCGGGTGTACGTCGAGCGCACGTAAGACTCTGTGTGGCAGAGGTGTCACCGTTGGTTTAATTACTCAAGTTTGAGGTACTTTCTCTCAGCGGAAAGTACCTGGGGGTTGCGCGGTCCTCCACGAAGGACCGTGCGGCCCTCGAAATTTTTGCATATTGCGGCCACTGCGCCGCAGCTAATCCATAAAGAAACCGCGATTGTTCTTCAAGCATTCGTCTTTAATTTCGCCAACTTTCTTCTAAATTTCTGCAAGCGGGCCCCAAAAAATCAACAAACTATTTTTCCGGTGCGCGCTTGCTCAAAATTCGCATGGCCGCCTGCCCCCGGCGATTATCTGAGTGGAAGAGTCCCGCTTGGATTTCCTGCAGAAATGCATGTCCGCGCATGTATAAGGGTGCGTATTTGTTGCAATGACCGCGGGAACCCCCTTTTTCGGCGAAATTTAGTCCTCTACCCATTACAAACGCGAATTCACCATCACGAAAAGGCAGGGTCGTTCCGGGACCCCTATGCTTATGTCATTATGGCATGTGCGCACCGGCGATGAAGGGAAATCGCAATGTGGGGGTCAGAGTGAGCTGTAAGGGGAAGTTGGAAGCGCTGCCTTTCGCATTGGATTTTTTAAGGTTTGAAGTGGCAGGGAGAGATCGAACTTGGCCCATAGGTTCTCTTGAACGGGGTTTATTGTGTAAGGTTTTTCACCGCGAGTTTGAGGTGATTTGACATGCTGTGTACGAAAATCATATTCAATTTACGCAGCAAGCTCTTTTTGGCCTTGGAGATGAGGAAATGAAAATTGGCTGAGACTTCGAAAGCGAAATTAGTCACTAAGGAGCAGGAAATTTGCATGAAGAATAGGCACAAGGAAAGGTTGGACAGGGATAGGGATGGAACCTTTATCATAATGTTTTGATTGGGACGGCGGGGCTGGGAAGCCAGCTAGTTGTTTTATATTCTAAAAAATGTAAACTAGGCAAGCGTGTGTTTTATCCCACGCCCTGACAACAATTCACTTCAAAAAGGATTTGAATTGAACTTCTAACGAAATATTGTGCAACCTTGCCGCTGCGCTATCTACACTAACTGCACATCATCTGATTGCTCTTTCTCACGTAGAAAGATCCAGAAGTAGTTTAACAATTATCAGTGGGCAATTTTACGCGCAGAGAAACCAAGAGGGAAGTTGCTCGTTACTTTCCTCACACTGCAAGTGGCCTGTACATCTTTGTTTGCTAGTACAACGAAGAGAGTCGCGGTGGCTGTGCGCGCTGCTCTCGTTGTTCTTTGCGGGTACGGCGTCGAATAAGGTAAAACTTTCAAGCTGTGGCACGATTGGGGCGGTCGCGACCGCGCCTTCTTTACATGATGGTTTTTGGGGTATTAGTAGGGTATTAGTAAGGGCTCTAGCTTCGGCACTACTCAATTATATGGAACTTAACTTTCTTGTTGTTCATATAGATTTTCTTGTCCGCATGATCTTAGAGGGTACTAATAGGGCCAAATTCAATATCTTAATGGGGAGGGGGTTCGCGATGTCAAACCGATTGAATACACGGGATACTTACTATCATAAAGAATTGGAGCGTTGCAAGTCTTCCTCCATATCCGCAGAAAGCGCTTTTGAAGAGAAAGTTGTGGGCGTTTTCATCATCAAGTTGCATGGTTTTGAGTGATTACAAATAATCGAAATTGTTCAAAGCGCTTATTGCGCTACAGAATAACATTCGACAGGAATGGCTCTGTACAGCCAAGTTTGCCCTTTACACACACAATTTCTTAGCAAAATGATGGCTTTTGACTGCTTATAATTTCATCCACAAAAGTGGTCTGCAGATAAGGAAGGCAGACTTGGAGTCAGCGATTTATGCTGCATCTAACGGTATGCAGCTTGCTTGAATTGGCCACTTCGATTTCTGACCATTCCCTTATTAGGTATTGATGATTCCGGCTATTTCCTGCCTTGCGCATTTTTCGCAACTAAAAGCCCATAACTCCTTTCCAAAAGCGTTCTACAGATGGAGAAGGCAGACTTGAAATCTGCAAAACTCTTCGAATTCTTCGTGGTGATATGCATCTTGTAATGATCGGCCACTTCGACTTCGCGACTCTCCCTTTCAGTGAAGAGTCCATGGCTTGCAGTTTCAAGCGTAAAAAAATACATGCTGCAATTACGGATTCATTTCTGAGAATCAGAAACCATATGAATTCTGTAAATAGCATATACGACTCTCGATAAACCTCGGCATAGTTGGCCAATAAAGTTTGTAACAATCTCGGCGCTGGCTACAAGACATCAATCTCATATGAATTCTCCTAGTGCGCAATTTTATGGATCCGCGCATCGGCTCTCATCCTTGTCCATGTGGATAAATTTGCTACACTTGCTATGCGAATAACTGGGCTCGGGACTTTGGCTGGAACCCGGGCTCTACAAACTTTGTAACGAACAAGCACTAAAACACGCAAACTTCCTCAACTGTCTTCGTAGGGTTACGAAACATTCTTGTGGGTATCGAAATAACTGCATCGATCACATTTTTTAGGGACTTTCATGCAGGATTCCCGTACCGAATATCCATATATGTTCCACATTGGCTTATCGTACGACAAAGAGAAAGAAACATATGTTTGGGAACAGCCAGGGAAGAGTTCCATTCCGGTACGCACTTACTAGAAATTTTTACATTCATTCAGTTGATGACGTAATTGGTTTTTATTTACGTTAGCATGTTTTCGATGGACCAGAACTGAGTATATAGTGCTGGCCAAAACTATGATCCACTTCAGAAACTGCCGTAGTTAATCCGCTTCTCAACGAATTTATCTGAAATTTGGTACAGCTGTGTGTTCAGCAGGCTTCCATCAGTGACCAGAGCGGATCCCGCTTTAATTTGATTATTCAGGAAAAAACCAAAAATTTTGAAAAAAGCAGACTCGAAGGTTGGCCAAACTAAAGTAATTCTTGGCTTTCAAATTTTCTTGTGCATATACATAGTCAAAAGTCAAAGCAGTGGCTTTAGTCCAGCTGTGTCATACCTTCATAAGAAACGCTTATCTGTTTTTCTTTTCACTCAAAAATATTTTCATGCGTATCTTGTTCCCGAGAATGTGTTTTTATAGAGGATTCCGCACTTTCTTGACTGGTTCGAAAGTGATAGGGCTCTATCTAACTTATAGATGCTTAGCAGTGTGAGCAGTAAAAAAAAATTCGAGTTTTCGTATCCAAAGCGCACCCGACGTAGACCAAACCGCAGGCCTGCGCTCGAATTCTAGCCTTCAAAATTGATGTACGCTATTTTTGTAAGCTTAAAATAACGTAGAAGCGTTATTCAGCATTATTTACATGAAAAGAAGTTTGTAAACTATAGTCACAATTGTTTGCGAAGTCGCATTCAATTCTTTTCTAAAGCATAAGTCTTGCGGTGTGTTCGGCAATCTCAAAGTACTTATCATGTGGTACCTTCCTTGAATTTTGCCACTATTTAGCTGCTAACTAGTGAATACACCCTGTATTGTATGTTGCCTTGGTCAGAACCAGAAATAACTTTAAAGGCAGTGTCAAGGCAAAAACTCGATCTTGTGATTTTGTGCTTACCCGGGCCTATTCGCTACGCTGAATCCGAAAATGCACATTGTAGAGCGCGAAAATGGCGAAAAACGGCTCTAACAAAGGAGGGAAATGAGCAGGTGGGCGGGGTCCTCCTCACTGTGAATTCACGCTCCCGGCTTCCGGAGCGACCTTCTCGCTTCCGGTTTCGAGTCAATCATTCGCACTTTGCCGGTAGCGATGTTAGGACGGCTAGCGGAATCGAGAAATTTGCTCCGGGAGCTGGGAGCGTGAGATCGCATTGGGGAAAGCCCCGCCCACCTGCTAATTTCCCTACTGTATTAAAGCCCTTTTTCGCCGTTTTCGCGCTTTCCAATGTGGATTTTCGGATTCAGCATGGCGGATAGGCCCGTATAAGCACAAAATCTCAAAATTGAGTTTTTGCCCGGACACTGCCTTTAAGGCTTGTTGCAAATCGCCTTTTGCAGGATGAAGTCCTCAATTAGCCTGCATACCAGGATCTGCAGAAATCTGCGACCGCTGCGTACGGGCTCTCAAACATGCTAACAATGTAGTTACTCCAGCTTACGCTCATAACAACATTGCAGAAAGAGTTTGAAGGCATAAATTTAAACGCAGGCCTGCGGTTAGGTCTATGCCGGGTGCGCTTTGGATACGAAAACTCGAAATTTTTTCTACTGCTCACACTGCTAAGCATCTATAAGATAGATGGCCCTATCACTTTCAAACCAGTAAAAAAAGTGCGGAATCCTCTAGAAAAACACATTATCGAGAACAAAATACGCACGAAAGTATTTTTAAGTGAAAAAAAAAACAGATAAGCGTCTCTTATGAAGGTATGACACAGCTGGACTAGAGCCACTGCTTTGACTTTCGACTATGTATATGCACAAGAGAATTTGGAAGCCGAGATTCACTTTAGCAGACAAAAATTTTAGGTGGATTTATAGTTTTGGCCAACCTTCGAGCCTGCTTTTTCCGAAATTTTTTATTTTTTGCTGAACAATCAGACGAAAGAGGGATCCGCTCCGGTCACTGATCACTGAAGCCTGTTAAACACGCAGCTGTTCCAGATTTCAGATCAATTCGTTGAGAAGCAGGTGGACTAATGCAGTTTTTAGAGTGGATCTATAGTTTTGGCCAGCACTATAGAAGAACTATAGAATATATTAGGATGAACCGAAAGTTCTGTCGCACCATTTTAAAAAATTCATAACTACTGATTTATCCAACCGATTTGACTGCTTTTATTTTTGTACTCATGCTCTTTATAATGGCATCTTAGCTGCTTACTAATGGTCATCTGTTGCATAGCAGGAGCGATAGAAGAAAAATGGTCAAAATTTAAATTTTCTGTATAGGGTCATAAAAAATCGGAAACTTGCAACAAAAATTGGAGCAGTCCGTACTTTTTCACTAGCTCTTTCTAACTGTGTAAAGTTTGCGCCGATTGAGCGTCTCTATGAAAAGTTATAATTCCCCTGAAAAATGCGTAAACAAATCAAATTTCTTCTGTATTGCTTGCTCGAAAATAGTAACTTTTCATAAAGACGCTCAATCGGCGCAGGCTTTGCTCTGTTAGAAAGAGCTGGTAAAAGAACCTACAATACCGACTGCTCCGATTTTTGTTGCAGGTTTCCGATTTTTTATGACCCTACGCAGAAAATTCGAAATTTGACTACCCTATTTTCAGGTGTATAAGCCGCACCCTTTTTGCTCTAAACTCGAGCAGACCCAGGCGTACCGCCGCGAATATATCTCGCGAAGCGGTCGTCCTATTCGCATACTGCTCTCACTTAACGCGCTCCATAATGACAGTCTTTCTTTTGGCGTGTTCGCCCTTAGAGTGAAAAGGGTGCGGCTTATACACCTGAAAATAGGGTAATTTTTTCTATCACTCCTATCTATGGAACAGACGACCATTAGTGAGCGGCTAGGATGTCATTGTAAAGAGCATGACTTACACTTTCAAGCAAAAATAAAAGCAGTCAAATCGGATGGAAAAATCAGAAGTTATGAATTTTTGGAAATGCTGCGACAGAACTTTCGGTTCGACCTAATAAAAGCAACAAAAACAGAAAAGTCCAAATATGCTCTACAAATGCGGTCTACTAGGGAAAAGCGTTTTTGCATGCTAAAAATCATTTAGCTTAAACATATTGACATTTATCACTTTGGCGTAGATTAGCAAGCCAGCCATTTCCAGATCAAATCTCTTCTTATTTATCTTTGAACAATACTTACTTAGATACTTACAAGATAGATAGATACTTGTTAGATACTTAGATGGCCCGGCTTCACGTGACGTGCGGGCCCCAGCACAGAAGTTTCCATTGATCCCTGTCCCTCGCTTCGGACATCCACGATCTTCTTGGTCGTCGTCGGTGGCTGCGTCCACGAGTTCCAGGGGCAAGAATCGTATCCAGCTGATTTCTCAGCTGGTCCATCCGTTCCACGAACACGTCTGCCCATCTCGTCGGTGGTCTTCCTCGAGGACGTTTGGCTTCGCGAGGAATCCACTCAGATGTTCTTAGTGTCCATCTATCGTCCGTTCTTCTCATTATGTGACCGGCCCATCGGTGTTTCGCTTTCGCAACGTATTCCGCAGGGTCACGAAGACGGGACATTCTTCTCATATCCGTGCTGCGAAGTCCGACTAGATGTTGCTTGTGTCGGGTCATCTTAGAAGACTACGCTTTAGCGCTCTGTGGGTGGTCTTCAAAGTTTTCGACGTGGCTACGGTGTCAGCCCAAGTCTCCGCTGCGTAACAGAGCGCCGGGAGAACGGTTGAGTCGAACAGGTGGGCACGAAGCTCCGGGTCCGTCAGTTGGTCGGTGGCTTCCTTCAGAGGCCGAAGGCGGCACAGGCTGCTCTTCTCTTCTGTTAAGTTCTTCCCTCAAGTCGTTCTCCATGTTCATCGAACGTCCGAGATCGTAAGAAGACGTCTCCATGATAGAGGTGCCTTCCAGTTCTATTTCTGCATCTTCGCAAAGGGCGTTCTTCATGAACTGCCCTTTGCGAAGAGTCTTCTTTCGATTAATACGCAATCCGATCTTCTTTCCTACTTCGTTCAGTTCCTTCAGCATCGTTTCTGCTTCAGTGATACTGCTTTCGAAGAGAACGATGTCGTCCGCACAAAACGAAGGTTCGACAGGATCTCCCATCAACTCGTAGGCCTCTCTCGTCCCAGTCCAGTGACTTTATCACCCACTGCAGGGCCGCGGTGAACAGCTTCGGCGAAATTGTGTCGCCTTGTCGGACCCCCTTCCCAATTGGGATGGTCAGGGGGCGATGGAACAGCTGCATCGTCGTTGTACAGTCCTTGTAACAGTCGGTTAACGTCCTCACATAAGCTGGGTCCACTCCTTGATCGACTAGCGCAGACAGGATGGCGTTGGTTTCGACGCTGTCAAAGGCTTTCTCGTAGTCGACGAAGGTTAGGACGAGAGGCAGTCGGTACTCCCGGCAGACTTCTATGACCCTCGAAACCGTCTGGATGTGGCATGCAGCTGAATCCTTTGCGAAATCCAGCTTGTTCTTGGGGTTGAGCTTCATCCAGTGTCCTTGCTTTGCGAGCGAGGATAATCTTCGTGAAAAGCTTGTACAGTACACTCAGCAGGCATATTGGACGATAGTTCCGAAGATCCTCCCGTTCACCCTTCTTGAAGAGAAGAACGGTTCTTGACGTTCTCCACTGGTCGGGAATCTTCTCCTTCTGAAGGTAAGATGTCAGATGCGACGCTAGAATCTCGTGTAGACGGTGTCCTCCGGCTCGCAGAAGTTCGACGGAAAGATGATCTGGTCCTGGAGCCGTGGACGTCTTCATGGTCTGTATCGCGATACGTACTTCAGCAGGTAGAATTCGTGGTGGTGCTTCTCCAGTGGGAACAACGGGCATCTGCACGGGTGTTGATGAGCGGAAGAGGTTGGTGTAGAAGTTCTTCGCGATAGATTCCATCTTGTATCGGGAAGAAGTCGGAGTCCCGTCTTCGTTCAGTAGTGCAGCCAGCGGTACGTGATATTCGCAGAGGTCCCTTCGACACTTCTTGAGACCTCGTCTTCTTTCGGCTGCTTCCAGTATCTTGGCTTGC